TATTTATTTTATTTATATTATATTTATTTGTATTTATAAAATACTTCAACAGGTATCTGGCATTTCTTTCTGGTGAGTGGGTTAGAGAAGCTGGAATGATTCTAGAGTGCTCTTATTCCCACCATAGTCAATCAGAGATTCAGGGAAATCTAAATTAAACAGGTCTTTTCAAGTGCTAGTGAGGCTATAGGAGACAGAATTAGGGAGAAGGGAGATATGGGGCTTAACATCCTCTAGAATTATATATTACTTGACTATAAGCTGTCCGAAGGCAGGCCTTTTTATGACTTGGCACATAGTAAATACTCAATATTGTTCAAATGAATAAACACAGGCATTAACCACTCCATTCAGCCAATAGACTTGGGAGTTGTAATGGAAAAACACAACATCAAGGTAAGTATTTGGTAATACTATTGATGGGAGAAAGAAATCGCTTTTACTACCTCAAGTAGAAACCTGTTTCTCTGGTCGTTAATGAATTCATGGATCGTCCTCTTTCTGTCTGCACCTGTAGAGAACATTGAAATAGATTTAGGTCTAGTTTGCTGTCTTTCAAAGATACTGCATAGAATAAGAGTTAGTATAAGTTATTATATGTACACATTTAGAGACAGCAAAATAACTTTACCTTCCAATAAAATTTCCCTAATGACTCAAAAACTAAGGTAATAACTAATAGCTACCAGTTATTTTGTATCCACTAATTTTCCAAGAACTTTATTAAGCATTTAAAATGCATTGCCTAATCTTAATAAAGTATTTATTATCCCATCCTCTTTGTATCCTGAAGCTTAGCAGTGCCAAAAGTCTTGTCCAAGATCCCACAGCTACATGTGACAGAGATGGAGTTGAGTTCCCCAAGCACTAAAGTGGACCATACTGCTCTAAAAAAAAATCTGTTTTTTAGAAATATATTTTATTGCTGAGTATGGCGGTGGCATATGCCTTTAATCCCAGCACTAGGGAGGCAGAGACAGGCAGATCTCTGTGTGTTCAAGGCTAGTCTGGTCTACATAGTGAGTTCCAGGCCAGCTGGGACTACAGGAAGACCCTGTCTCAAAAGGACCAAAAAAAAAAAAAAAAAAAAAAGAAAGAAAGAAAGAAAAAGAAAAAGGAAATATATTTTATTGCCTTTGAAAATTTCATTAATGCATACAATGAATGTATTAATCTTATTCACCTACCACTGTTCCCTAACTCCTCCCAGATCTACCCCCCACCTCCCCACTCCCTCCCAACTTTCTGCTTTCTTTAAAAAAAAATCCACTGAGTCCAATTGTGCTGCCCATATACTCATGGGTGTGGGGCCATCCACAGGAGCATGAGCCACGTACCAGGGATCGACTCTTAGAGAAAAATAATCATCCCTTCCCCAGAAGTCATCAATTACTCTAGAATAGGGGCTCACTAACCCCTGCCCCCTCCATGCTGGAATGTTGACTGACATGATCTTGTGCAGATCTTGTGTAGGCAACCACAGCTGCTGTGAGTTATGAGTGTAGTGGTCCTGTCATGTTCAGAAGACATTTTCATTTTTCCCCTACCTCTGGCTCTTAGAATCTTTCCTCCCCCTCTTCCTCAATGGTCCCTGAACCTTGGGGAAGCGGGTTGTCATACAGATGTCCCATTTGTGGCTGAAGATGGCTGCAATCTTAACACTTGGCCAGTTCTAGACATAAGACTGGAGTTCTCTGGCCAAATGTCTTTGGAGACCACAAGACAAATTTGCAATAGGGGTAGAAAAGATGGCAAACAGCTTCACCATGCAAAAAACTGAATAGGAAGACCAAAAATTTTCCTTCCAAGTTTTCTTCATTTTGGAAAATGCTACATTTCCACATTAGCTTTGTGTGAAGTCAACAGAATGTGGTCTAGAATAAAGTCTCTCACTAACAGCTTAAATAGAACTAGCAATAAGATACTTCCTAAATAAACATTGAGCCTGTGCAGTAGGAGAACCATGTCTTCCTGCAGTTGCAATGGCCTCCACCTCTAATGACCTAGAGGATGTGAGTGAGCATTTACCTTCTTTCTGCTGTGCTTTCCTCATGTGTGATGAGGACACTATGTCAGGTTATATTACTATTCTTATATATCTCCTGCCCACCTCTGTGAGAGGACTGTTTCCCACCCTCATCTGATGTCAGGGTTTGACATGATCTGGCCATGGAACAGACATGGAAGGGAGATATGTGACTTTCAAGAAAGAATTTCAAGAACCACCACCTTCTTCCCATTGGCTGCATCTCTTATGTTTCTTCAGCAAAAGACCTGGAGCAAAGAACCAAACTTGACAAGTGTTTGATAATTAAACTGCTCAAGTTGGAAGCCACTGAAATTTCTATGTGGCTTATTATGAAAGCATAAGTTAGGAATATCCCTCCGTTTCATAATGGCATCAGGAGAATGAAATGAGGTAAGACATTATAAAATACACAAGAATTTATTAATAATTGTTATCTGTTATTATTTAAACAACACAGTTGAACCATTTATTTAATGACCAATTAAAGCAACAACGATTATTACAGTCATTATTAAATATTCATTGGGAGGTAGCCAATGGAGTCAAGAGGCCTTCACTTAAATTCTGCATGGAATAGAGATTTGGGTGGCCCAATATCAATGAGCCATTTTCATCATTTGCAAAAAGGAGGCAAAAATCTAACAGTATTTTGGTACAGATTAAATACAATATACAGGATGGAGGGAACCCAGCATTTAAGAGCACAGGCTACTCTTGCAGAGGACCCGGGTTTAATTCCCAGCATCCACGTGGCTGCTAACAGCCATCTGGAACTCTAGTTCCAGGGGAATCCAACACACTCTTCTGATCACTGAGGGCATTATATGACACAAGTGCACTTACATACATGCAGGCAATACACTCATACACATGGAATATACACACAAACACACACACACACACACACACACACACACACACACACATATATATATAAAAGACAATATCCATCATAGCAGCTGTCACTTAGACATAGCTATCTTTTTAATCCTTTTAGAATTTTACATGATAGAAACCACTGACATTTGTAAAAGTAGAGTCCAAACTTCTATGTACCTATGACCTACTGCAACATTATTAATATTTTATTAGTCTTACCTACTGATACCTCTGTTTAGTTTTTCTTCTCACTAAAGTATTATGAAGAAAACAAAAACTCTTGAATTATTTATCCATAAATATTTTAGTGTGTAATTGTACCAGACAGTTTAAAAACAATCATTCTACCATCCTCACCCCTAACAAAACAGTTCCTTAATGTAATCTCATAGCCAGTCTAGGTTATGTTTGTTTCTCAGTTGTCTTAAAAACATTTATCTTAAAAACTGAAAGCAGGGCTGGAGAGATGGTTCAGCAATTAAGAGAACTGACTATTCTTGTATAAAATTCAGGTTTGAATCCCAGCATCCATATGGCTGCTGGCAACCATCTGTAACTCCAGTTCCAGGGGACCCGACACCCTCTTCTGTCCTCTGTGGGCACTGCATGACACAGGTGCACTTA